CAGATTTTCCCCAAGTCTCTCCCTAGCTCACGACCCAACTCCTCCTTTCTTTTCTCCTTCCCGTCCCCACTTCATTGTTGAATGGCGGATCCCGAATTTGATGGGGGCTTTTGTTCAACGCCGATGGTAGTCTCAACGTCCTACGATCTCCGCACTTCGACGCGGGGTTTGAGCAAGAAGACACAGTTGGCAAATACTTGGAGCGAATTCTCCCACACTTGTGCACGTCATCGACCGCCGATTTCGAGACTACTTTTGGACAATCACCAGGCATCATCCACCACCTCCTCCACCGGCGGCTACCTCTCCGTTAACGAAGTCCGTCTCCTTTTCCGTAGTGGTGCTCTCCATCCTCGTGTAGTTCTTTATTCTCCGCTAAAAGCCAAAGAGTGAATGAGTGAGAAGGTGCTCGATGTGAACTTTCTCATTATTAATTGTGGGATTTTGTTATGAGCATTTAAGTAGTTCTTTTATCTTTGAATGTTTATGAATTGTTTGGTTATCTCAAAGCAACTCTTCGCCTAAGCAAGTTAATTACCTAGAATATATTTAATCCTTTATTTTATTGGTGATAAATTTGTGGTGGTAACGCTTTAGTTAACTTTCATCTTAATTTCCGCAAGCAACTCCTATTTGATTTACATCAGAATGGATATTGAGTGCGAGCAATTAATTTGAGGCTGTAAAGAGGAAATATGAAATTAGTTTTTATTTTTTAATAAATAAAATTTGAAATACGAAATTATATTAAAAAACATAAAATTTAAGACACGCATGTTCAATTTATTTTTAATATTTTTTTAATAAGACACATCTTTGGAATGTTAAACATGTGTCATGTCGAATATGTGATGGACACTATATACCACTTAGTGGGTAAATGTTGGTGCATTATAGGTAGCCATTCATTAATATTAATGGATAATCACAATTAAATCTCCAACTCCTCTATAAAAATCCATATGTATGGCCCCATTCATCCCAACCCATTCCTTATAACAAATTGCACTTGAGAAGTTTTTCATTATCAATTGACAACACACCTCATTTCATTCCCTCCTTTCCCAAAAACCCTAGCATGCTTCTATTGAGACTGACGAAGGGACACTTACTCAACGACACCTTCTAGTACCCCCACCGAAGCCCAGAACTTTGCTTATTTCCTTCCCTTCTCACACATTCCCTTCTCACGCGTAAATGCTAATCTCTTTGAAGCCTTCGTATTTCTATGCCTCATGTGATGAGCATTATGCTTGAATAAGATGATTTGGTATTTTTACAATCATTGATTGGTAAGATCCCCATTGCTTCCATTGCTCCAATTTTTAAATTGAAATTTTTTTCATTCTTTTTAGCTTATTCAGTTTTGAGTTCCTGCCATCTCCTAATTTAAGTTTCGATTAGCATTCCATTTAAAAAAAATTGATTTAATTTTTGTTAACTTGAGCAAAATGATTAGCTAATAAATGGGGTTATTCACCGGGATTTTATCTAGAATCCGCAAAATGAAACATTATTTAGAATTACACTTCATTCTTCAGAACCTTTTAGAAGTTTTTTTTTTTTTTTTTTCTGAGTACAATGGTTATCATCCCTTGTTATCTAAAGTGGTTATAATTTGCACCAACCGGTGATGCAAACCTACATAATTGTTATTTGCAAGTTACATGTAGTTAAAAACTGTGAAAAAAAAAACCTTGTCCCGGCATTAATTAAAACTGTTGATATAAATTTTAGTATAAAGCGCAATTCTACATTGCATTGGTCCACTAATCATATGATTTTATCTCCTTTGCATAATTTATCATTAACTATAGTGAGGAACTTCTTCCAACAGCAATGCCAACTCAAAGTCGATCTAGATGCGAATCAGGTTGGCAGAAACTGACAAAACAACCATAAAAATAATTAGAAGAATGAAACTGTGGGATAAGTTGTTGAAGTAGAAGACAAGGGAAAAAGAAATTAGAGAAGTTTGGGATCATTTCAAGCAGATTTTACAAAAGAAAAGGGAAAACCTATTGAAAAGTTTGAAATGTAACTATTAAGTCATAAGTGAAGCAAAAAGCAGAAGCAGCTTTTAGAAGGGGTGGGCATATTAAGGGTCATCATTACAAGAAAACAAATAATAAGGGGAAAGAATAGAAACTCCTTTATCCTATTGTTGAGAACATTGAGAAAAATGAAATAATTATAATGCGTGTGTTTTAGCTACTTATGATCATAATAAAATTATTATTGTTAAGATGGTCATCATACATGAATATCTTTTCATGGTGACTGAACATCTGAGGTTCAAAACCAAATCAATGATCATTTGATTCAACATTAAGAAAGAGTCCATGAAAATTCTTGAAGCTTAGGAAGAAAAACTAAGGTCCTATCTGGGACAAATTTTTAATTTGTTTAAAAAAAATAATATAAAAAGCAAAACATATTTGCATAGATAAGACACTGAGTTGGGTCACACGAGGATCGCAACACAAAAAGTATCACAGAAATGAGAAGTTTATTACTCACATGATGGAGTAGAGAAAATTTAAACATAAAGTCTTTTTCTTCATGAAGTTTCCATATAAGTAATTCACATAAGCTAATATCTTCTGACTTGGGGCATTAATCAATCCAAGTGTTACAAATATAATGCTAATCGTTAGTTATTAAAGCATGCAAATACTCTAAAGATATTGAGATGTCAAAACAAACACCAAATCAAAATAAAACACCTATCTATTTATCTTTAGTCAACCAACATTCACCAATTAAATTTTCCAAGGCAACATAGCTCAGGGGTAGATAACTCAATCGTGGTTATTATACAATTATTTGAGATATATTGGACCTAATTTATTAATAGGTATTCCCAAGTAATTTTTAAGTGGTCAAATAATATGTTTTCAAATTCAAGTAAAGTACATCAAAATCACTAATTAATGCAAACAAACTTGAGTATTCATATATCACAAGCCACTAATTAATTCAACAACTTCTTGTCTTTAAATGTAAATAGAAAATAAAAAAATTGAAACCCAAATATGAAGTGGCGAATAACTAAAGAAATCAATTAGAATTCTAAACAATGAAAATCAAGGACGGAAATAACCCTTGGGTTACTCTGTTGCCCGATCACATGAGAGGTTAAGGCAATCCATTAAGGTGGATCTTACTGGTCATTTAAAAAAAAATAAAAAAATAAATAAATAAATAAATAAACAATGAAAATCAACAAATAATTGCAATTTAATTCCCATAATTTTAATTTTTTGCCAAATTTGAATAAGAACATTAACAAATCAATAATAAATTATGTAGGTAAAATAAGAACATGGAATGAAAATACCAAAACAAAAAAAGAGGTTTCACATCGGTACAAAGAGATGAGCCAAGAATCAAGTGGTCGCAATTGCAATACACATGAAGGAATCACACACCCAATGAACACATCGGATTACAAATTAAAAAGAGGAATTTTATTCAGACAATCATGTTCCATTAATGCCTTTGAATATTTATTTATAAACTCCTCATCCTATTAGCTAGTAGAAGTGAATCACATAAACAGCTTAAAATATGTGTAAATTAAAAAATAAATTAAATTCTGGCCCAATTTAAAACTCAAAAATTCTAATCCATAACAAACAAACTACTAAGCCCATTTGGTGCTGTAGTATTGAATGGAAACAAAATACGAAAGCCGCATAAACATGCTAAACAACGCTAGATGAGTCCAAAAATCATGGAAAATGGGAAAACAAACATGAACCAGATCTCCTCAGCTATCAAATTCACAGGGAAATAAGTTTAAGAATCTTCTCCCAAAGAATGGATAAAGCCAGACACTACAGCCTAAGGTGGTACACAAATTATCCCGAGGAAAAAATTCAGAACTTCTTCAAAGCAATCAACACTTAAAAGGAATTCAAGCAAACAATCACTTATCTTCTCCAATCAGCAAAACATCTATAATAACTTACTATATGAGTTAAGCTACAATGAACCAAACTGAAATCATGCTAAACCATATGAACAAACCTAATTCTTAGGAAAAATTACATCTTTCTCTTAGCTATCATCATTGGCATACTTCTAATTACAAAGATAAAAATAAAATAAAATAAAACTAATAAAAAGAAAATATATAATTTATACTTAATTCATCGCTTAATGCAATGCTTCCAATGAGAATAAACACAATGATTTCCATTACTAAATTCCTAACTTGGAAAAAAGAAACAAGAAAGTAACATCTTCAATACCAGTTCAATTATGACAGGTGTTGATTACTAACCATTGACGATAGTGGCATTGTAGCAATGAGCTCCGTTTAAGTAGTCAAGTACAAAATATTCGCAGAAATTAAGATGCTTAGTTTTCTTTAAAAAAAAGGTTAGCTACCTGCGTGACAGCTGAGAAAACTCATCCTCTGCCTCGTCATCCTCATGATTAAGACTAACAAGAGGCGCAACAGGGGCAACTGGAGCTCTTACAGACGCAACAGAAACTCCTCCTGTACTGTTATTCTTAATAGGAGTCCCTTTAGCAATGTCATCATGACGTTGTAGTACTTTCTGCAGGTCATCATTTAGTGCAAGGGCCTGGAACAGAAGTCCTTCATCTCTGTTGAGTGACAAACAAAGCTATCAAAAACCTACAATTTCAACTATAACATTTGTACAAATTCCCTATGACATCCATACCCAGTGTTATTAATAAGGAGCATGACTCGATTCTGATAGCTATGACATTGCTCTACAAGATCAACAATAACTTCTTGGTTGACATTCTGCCATCAAAATAACAGTTAGTCTTTTAGACTACTTCACAACAACAATAACAACAAGCCTTTATCCCACTAAATGGGGTTAGCTACATGAATATTTTTTCTCCATTAGGTATTGTTAAGAGTGAAATTTACATGAAAGTAAAAAAAATAGCAAAAAATTTACAGCAAAGAAAAGAGTGCCATTTCTTAGTGGAGTACGAAGCACAACTTCGCTTGGTGTTGATTTAAAGAAAAAATACACTAAGTCCCCCAAATAAGGCAGCATACATCATAAAAAGTGCACGAGGCCCCCACAAGAGCAAGTTATGGGGAATGATTCTACATAATCTAACCATGTTCTGATAGAGAGGCTCTTCAATGTTTCAGAATCCATGACTCGCAATAGGGGGCAACCCAGCTATTGTCCGAAGCATGTTCTCCAATTTGATCAAGTATGGTTCATTGAATCAACTTAATTAAGTTAAATCACAAGACTAAACTGAGAACCTTTAGGCTTTACCGCCTAGCAATACATCAACAACAACAATACCTTGACGGTAGAAGAAACTAAAAATTTTCATCTGAAAATTAAAATATTTTTTCCTACATTTTTTTAAAAATTATATGAGTTGGACAATGCATACATCAATTGTATGTTTCTTTTTATCTATAATATTGAGATTTAATGGATAACGTTCTTCTCCAACTTACTAATTTAATGTATGCACTTAAATCACGGCATTCCAAATGCTTAATAAAAAAGGTAAGACATCGTTGGCTATTCACCAATTTCATACTATTTCAATAGGACTCAAACAAAAGATTATTATGTTTCCTTAAGGATAGGAGTGATATAGAATCCAGTTAGAGCAAGCCAACCTAGAATTGAAATGGAAGATTTCCCTTTCAGCTCAAACCAAATTCTACTCCCAACTAAAAAATGGTAAACTTCGTCAACTTTTAAGATGAATTGCATAAACCTATTTGTTTTAAGAAAAGTTTTAATGCAAAATTTAAAAGAGTATATAATAAAAATATAAATTAAATACATGCTTATATGAATAGTTCATACATAAATGCACATTTATCTTATCTAGATAACTTCACAAAATATAAAGTATAAATGATATTAGATGTTTGACATAAATTACATATGCAAACTGAAAAACATAAATTTATTTAGTGTGTTCATTTATATATATATATATATTCAAAGACACATATATAGTCAAGTTAATTTTAAGTTGAGTTGAACTAATTTCAAGAAAGCCATTCTTGAGTTGAGCAAATTGATTATGATTTTGAGTGATTAAAATTCAAGCTATTATTAAGCAAGTTTAGAGCTTTGAGCTTAATTATTATTAAGGATGTTACCATTGGCAATTTTGAAATAGTGTAGATGTTGCACAAAAAATAGGTAATTGATTATAAATTCATCATAAATTGATATATCCATTTTGTGCTTGTTTTTATCATTTTATAGGTAGGCAATTTTTCAATTCCCATGAGGGAATTCATATTCAATATCTCTTAATTTTATTCTATAAAGAATACCTTTTGATGTGGGCAATTCTCAAAATGTGCATGGCACTAATCTAAAGTTCTACACTTCGAACCAAAAAATGCTTCTTCAACCAACTAAATAATAAATTTTTGAGATAGACACACTCCTTATTCTCTAGGCAATCCCTAAATTGAACATGAATTGATTCCCGATAATATCATATTTTATATATTTGTTATACTAAATAAGTTTATTGAAAAATTTTAGCCATCCAAATCTCAAAAAGCCAACAGTGAAAATGCAAGAAGATAAGTGCAGCTGCTTGGATTTGCTAATGAAAAAAGAAAAGGCAACAGTGAAAAGGTTATTTGATACTATATAACTCAATCTTAAATATTATATATATTGGCTGCTTGACTTGGCTTTTTTCTTTAGGTGATCTTCCATATTTTGAATTTGAGTGAGAACAAAACAAGAAAGACAAGAAAAAGGGTAGAGCAAATGTTGTAGTTTACTCTGACTATAGCAAACAACATCATCAATCCATGCAACAATGGACGAAGACTAACACCTTCTGAACCACATAAAACTTGATGTTCATATAAGCTGCTTGATCTCTTTAAATGTCCTTCTGTGGTTTATAGTATTCACTCTTCGTTGATGCTTTCACATAAAAATTAGGCACTTGAACATTCAAATTGAGATCCAGAATAAGCTCCTTGGTCAAGAGTTTGAAATTTACTACAAACACAACAACAACAACATCAAGCCTTTGTCCCACTAAGTGGGATCGGCTACATGAATCCTTTTTCTCCATTGTGTCTTGTTAAAAATCAAATTCTAATTTAAATCTAATAAAGAAAGATCATTTATAATATTTTCTAACCAAGTCTTTTTAGGTCTACCTCTACCTTTCTTAACATAAGTCAAATCTAATACCACAACTTTCTTAATCGGGTCATCGGAAGGCCTCCATTTAATGTGACCAAACCATCTAAGGTGACTCTCTCTAATCTTATCTTCCACTGGAGCTACTCCAACCTTTTCACGTATGTGCTCATTTTGTATCCTATCTCTAAGGGTAAAGCCACTCATCCACCTGAGCATCCTCATCTCTGCAACACTTAACTTAGTATTATGTTTTTTCTTTTAATGGCCAACATTCGACACCATAAAGTATTGTAGGTCTCACCATCTTTAGAATTTTCCCTTAAGTTTGAGGGGGACTTTCCTATAATACAACAAGCCCGATGCATTCCTCCACTTCAACCATCCAACTTGAATTCTGCTGATAATATCCCCATCTATTTCACCATGACTCTGAACAATAGATCCAAACTTTCTTTTCAAGAACTCTCCATAGCACTTCTCTTGGAACTTTATCATATGCTTTCTCTAAATCAATAAATATCATATGTAGATGCTCCTTATTCTCTCTATATTTCTCCATCAAACCTCTCAATAAATATATGGCTTCCATAGTAGACCTACCCGGCATGAATCCAAATTGGATTTGAGAAACATTAGAACCACGCCGCAAATTGAGTTTGAAATTTACTATTTTTCAATAAATGTTTTCTCAAAAAAATAAATATTTCTAGTAGCTTTCAATCAGGTTAGCACATATGTTTCACTATTAATTATACCATGAAAAATATCCAACAGCAGATATTTTATCACCCTCATGCACATCAAGACAGAAAATGTAAAATCATTATGCTGCATCCAACAACACTGACATCACGTAACAGCTGGAAATAGACAGCGATGCCTGTAGCATCCCATATTCTCATACACATATTGAACAGAACAATATTTTAAGAGCAGGAATTAAGATAGGTCAAAGTTTCAATACAGAACAATTCTTGTAAGCCAGCATATTAACGGCAAGCAAATTTCTCTGAATAATCATTGGAGTTCATCATTTTAAAACAAACATACAGAAGAGAAAGCATGGTGCTTTCAAAATTTTAATTAACTAGAAAATAATAATAAGCCTTAGATTCTTAGGAATCACTAGCAAAAATATAAATGAACTAACCTCTGAACTTTGAATATCCAATGCATTAAGCATCTCTGATAGCACATCAGCTATGCCTCGAGCATTTTGAATCTCATCCACGCTGCAAAAACAACAGAACAGCTTCAATTGTGGTTGTTGCTAACAATCAAGTAAAGATGGTACTAACTACTAAAGTATAAAAAGGTTTGAATCTATATACTACGTTCAATGAAATAAAATAATGAAACACTGTCTCCACATTTATAGAAGTAAGCCTGTACAAAATCCGTTTCATTTGTAACTGAAAGATATATTCATAGGAAAGTAAATATCTACTTGTAAAAAACAGATATGAAAGAATCTGAGAGAGGTAGATATTGACAAGCTCAGCACAACTACGATCAAATATCTTAATTTCAGCACAAACAATGCACAAGCCAAAAAATGAAACACAGAGTCATTCACAACTAGATCACACTTCACGCTATAAAAGCAGAAATCATAAGAACCACTCCAAGATACTTCTCCGAAGGATAAAAAATGCTGTAAATATTGCTTTCCTCAGGTTTCCACAAGAGTTGTCAAATGTTAAGAACAAGATATCAAAATGCTACAAAATCAACTATTCACTACCTATGATGCACCGACACTTCTCCTCAAAGAGGCGTGCAGTGTCCAACACCGTGACCGACACGACACTCGCCCGACACTCCTCCGACACGTGTCGGACACGCCGAAAACGTGTCCGATTAATAAATATTAAATATAAATTGGTCACGCGTGTCCGACACGTGTATCTTAAATATTTTATGAATTTTTTTAAACAAAATTTCTTGTATTTGGCGGGATTTAAAATAAATTTCTTATTTCCTATCCACAACACCTAATCAACGTCCGCACTTAATACCCAATCATCGAATATTCTCATTTTCATTTCTTTTTAACAGTGAAGGTATTTTCATCTCCTCTCTCGGTGACTGATAAACGGCATCGACGCCTGACTCTCAACATCCTATACTAATCATTTTAAGCGCAAATTCTAGTTAACTGACTTATTGTTTTCAAATTATTTTTAAAATTATACTTATTTAATTTTTATACACTATTTTTTAAATATAAAAACTATAATAACGTGTCCAACCCTTGTCTGTGTCTTATATTTTCAATAATTGACGTGTACGTGTCGTGTCGTATCCGTGTCGCCGTGTGTGCATCATAGTTCACTACTTGCAGAGTTCTCATTAAGCTTTAGCAAGCGGAATCGCCAGAAACACACATATTGTCTACAACAACAACATCAAGCCTTTGTCCGACTACGTGGGCTACATGAATCTTTTTTTCTCCATTGTGTCCTGCTAAAAGTCAAATTCTAATTTAAATCTAATAAAGAAAGATCATTAGATTTTAATTAGTATCAAAAAGGCTCAATAATGGTTAAAGAAGTTTTTTTTTTTCTCCAGGGATACAAATGCAGTGCGACAAAGATATCATCCCACTAAACATGGCCTGTTTCCGGATGCTCAATAACAGTAAAAAGTTAGCGTACATGCTAAGCATAAATGAGGTAATGTGAGGAAACCAGGATAAAAAAAGATAACGGATTGAAGCATGGCAAGTACCTTAAGGCAGAAACATCAGATTGAAGAGAAGCCTGTAAAGCAGCATCATAAGTTGCTTCAACAGGATGAGGCTCTATAGGATGTGCTTGTGGAGGGGTAAACAGAGGGGCTGTACTTTCTGTTCGAGGGGGAAATTCTACTCCAGCAGCCTATCAGCAACGTAAAAAATTTACAACAAGATCTAAATGAAAAGAAAGATTAAAAAGCCCTTTATACATGAAATGTCTGCAGCAAATATGAATATGTAAAGCCTGATATAAATCACTAAATGCCATTAAATCTTAAAAGAAGAAAAAATTTGCAGACCTTACCAGGAAATCACCTAGGAAAAAACAAAGTAAAGAAAAACGAAAGAAAAAAGAAAAAGCCATGACGATGGATATTTATAGTAGCTTATGCCGATGGATATTTATGGTAGCGTATATGCAAGTAGAGTTGACATAACTAAACCTACTGTTACCATAAGCATTATTATCATTAATCTTATCACAACTATTTAGGGTTAACTTTATGAAACCACACTTTCTACTAATTCCAATTGAGTGTTGCCTGAAGCTTTAAACCAATTATTTGTAAATCATTTGAATAATTCCTATCCATGTTACCATGGGTACCAATTTTTCTTTCTAATCCTTTGAAATTAATTTTATTTACCAATTTAATAGTGCATTTTCAACTACCGTATCTTCAATCATTCCTCAATTTATCCTTCCTAATTTTGGCACACATTCATCTAAACATCCATTTTCACCACAGCCTACTTAACTATCAATATTTTTTTATATGCCAATACACTAATTCAAACAACATAGAAAACTTAATTATAACTTTATAAAAAGTACTTTTAAATCCAATGATATCTCTTATCGGACATTACCCTCAAAGCATTTCTCAATGTTAACCATTAATTTTTAACTCTAGAAGTTACATCCTCATCCATGTGATTATATCCATATTTTTGATATAATACATCAAATATAATTAAATCTATCACATGCAGGAATAATTGTATTTTCTAATAATATTGATGGATAATTATTAATATCATATCCACATATCATATACTCGAATCTTTAATCTATGGATCCAGACCCTTTATCTTCAAAACATTTTCTTCGCTATTCTAACTTTTCAATAAATATCTCATCAACTAGAACTATGTCATTTACAAAAAGCATATACCAAAGCACATTAATTTGAATATTCTTTGCAAGCATCTCCATAACCAAATATGATACAATATATACTCTTTATTTTTTATTGATATAAACTTATTATAATTGGTAACTCTTTGTTCCCTCCAATAAGCACTTCTAATAGAAGTCAATTCTCCATCATGCATAACCTTAACAAATTCAACATACACTTGACAGTTGACACACAAATTTCTTCCTTAATGCACTCCAAATCAATCATTGGAGTACTCAATCATATGCCTTCTTACGATCAATAAAAAACACACATCCTTTATTTGATCTCTATATGTGTATCATAATTATCTCAAAAAAATCGATTTTATAGTAAATCATCAGAAAATGAAATCAGATTGATTATTCAAAACCAACATTTTTTTTTAATGTTTATACCAATACTCTCTCCAAAAACTTTATTTCTATCACAAAAAATGATTACTTAGTGGTGGTTGGGTCAAAAGTATTATTAGATGTATAGAACAAAAGAGTTGCAGATATTTTATTTTTCTATAGTTTGGTTTGAAGTAAACTAAATACAAACTATTTGTATAAGGGATTTAAAACACCTCATAATGCCCGTTTTTGACGAATTTGAATTTACCCAAATAAGGCAAATATCAAATACAGAGAACTCATAGTACACAACCGCCTTCCATCCACATGAGCATCAATCCTAATCTCACCACCCCCGACCTTGCCCTTGCCAGTCAAAGTCAACACTTGTTTGTCAGCCCCGACCTAATCACCCCCAACCATGCCTTCCATTTTTAACAAATTTGAAATTTACCCAATATTGTGTTGTCCCTGGCCTCATCCTTGATAACCCCAACCCAATATAAGCACGTTGTCCCCACAAATTCTTGATCTCTCCAACCCCAAACATTTTTTCCTATGAGACCGTGTCCTAAAGTAATGTATTTCTTTTTCAACCAACCAAAAAAAAATATTTTATGGATTTACTTACAACCAACCATACGTTTTAAGGAAATTAAACTACTCTATTTATTTTACACTGCATTTGAAATACACATGTATTTGAAATACTTGCAAACAAAATAACATTTAATATTCATCACAATCTTAAGCATGCTCCCATCTTCTCCAATCATTTAGCATCCTCTAAATATTCAAGATTCTATTGAAAAGATTTGTAAACCAAAACTATTACATCCTCAAAACTCCCCAAATCTTGCTTTGTATTTCAAATGTATCTAAATTTTTTACATTTATTGATGTGAAACGTGTAAGTAAACAAGAATTGCTTTTGGAATTAAAAATAATTTGAACTTTAACCTTGCTAATTGTAAACTTATGTCTCACCAAGTTAATCTATTAGAAATTTCCGTTAGAAGTTTATGTAATAACAAGCGATTACAAATGAGATTAATAAGATACTTGCAAGTAACAACAAAATAAGAAAGTAAAACTAATGGAAATGAAACAAAAATCTACGGCGTAACAACAAGAAGTGTTCACCCTGAGTTCCTTCACTCTCGCTCTTGAAATTAGGGTTTAGCGGAGAAAGGGTAGAAGTAATCCTAGTGATACCACCACAAGACAAGAGACGCGTAAGGCCTTGTTCGTCAGAGAAGTAGCCGGAGGAGGGGAGGTTGATAATCAGCCTACGATTTGCCAATGTCTCGTTGGTCGTTGCTCGTCAATCGTATCGGCGAGATGACAGAGTATGGGATTAACGTGGCTTTCCACTGAATCCTCGTATTCCCAGTCTGGATCAAAGAAAGGAGATAGCAAGATGTCAATTTCCCCTTGAACGTTGTATGTGAATTCGTGGTTGACCTCAGGGTCAACCATGCACTAAGGGTAGATGGGAGGACGGAGTTTGTCTTCTCTTATTTGCTCTCAAACTCATGAAAGATTTCAATTTTCCAAGAGAAACACAGGGGGGGCGCCAAGGAGAGAGGGTGGTTTGGGGGCAATGTTAGGTTTAGGGTTTGGGTGAGGGGATTATGATTAAATCTAAAGTTAAATTCAGATTTAAGTAATTTGGGAGGGAATTGAATTTGAAATTTAATTTCGAATTCAAATCTGGATTAGGGAAATAAAGTAAAGAGAGAAGTCGAGGCCAAGGGAAGGGGCCGGCCGCATCTAGAGACGAAGAGGGAATTTGGGGAGGGATTTAAAAGCTTCCAAAACGAATTATGTATTTTAGGAAGGAGAATAATAAATCTAATCTAATTTAAATTTAAATCAGACTTAGAGTTATGCACTTTCCTAAATTAGAATTTGTAAATAAGGAATGTATTTGAAATTCAAATTTAAATTTCAAATAATACTAAATCCTTCCTTTCTTGCTTGGGTTAATTTAGGAAAGCAATTATGATGATTGAAGTCATCATTAAGGAGGTGGATATGGGGGTGGGCCGGCGGCAATGGTGAGGGGGAAAGGGATGGTATCGGGTAGGAGAGGGGAAGGGGGGTTTGGGCCGGTGGATGGGGGGTTTTGGGTGTGACGTTAGGATGAAGTTAGAGGGGCTGAGGTGGGCCGACGGGTGGGAGAAGAGAAGGGGTTCGGGTGGTGGGGAAAAGAAGAAGTTTTTGGGGAAAACCAAGAGCTCGCCCGAAGGGGCTGTTGAGCACTTCGTTTGAGCCTCTCCTAAGCTTCTCCTCTCTCAAGTGCACACACAAGAAGAAGACAAATATGAAATTTTCATTTAATCATTCATTAACCTCTTACAAAGCACAAGACCTCTATATATAGGCCACAATAATAAAGAAAATAAGAAAGGCTCAAATGCCCTTAGGGCTACAATAAGAACTCATTACCTAAAAGGGTAAACTAGGAAAATTGAAATGCAAAATAAATAAAACATACAATACATCAAAAGTAAAGACTCTAAATCGTAGCCGTCGATCTACGATTCCGTCAATGGTACACATGTCGAATCTCTGACTGATGTCCTCATCATTTTTGTTTTTTTCTTTTAGAACTAACTTCGTTTCACTTTTAGAATCTACATTATATACCCCATTATTTTATTTGATAAGCTCATCGAAAAAAATTTATTATGCAACATCACCATAAGCAAGAGATCCTAATCTCATAAACAAGTAATGTATTAAAGACATGACTGCCTTAAAAACCAATACATTTTCTCCATCAATTAGCCAATCATTCCTTACTATGTTATCCAGCAAAGAAGGCCCCAACTTAAACTTTCTTGCCCATAAACCTGGGTATTGAAGAAACATCATCCACCTTCTTACTCAAAAGTTGTGATACAATAGAAACTTTCAAGGGATAATTTAAAAAATAAATATAGAATCTATTTTGCCCGATACAAGAACTACAATCATAAAGCATACCCTCAATTCTCGATATGCAGAATGGTACTGAGGATATCTCCCTGCAGCACCTCCAAAAGCATCTTGCCATGCATCAATGAGAACCAGTATCTTCTCTCTTACAGTCAAGTCTGGCTGTATAAATTGAAGTGGCCATTACAACAGAATTATATCGAACTAAAAATAGTAAGATACATATGATATAATTTAAAATTGTTCGTACAGAATATAACCTTTTTCTTCACAATTTTAACCATGTCATGTAAGATATCTCGTTCAATGATTTGCCCGTGAACACTATCCCCACAATTTTTGCTCAAAGTCTCTAACACCTGGATGATCAGAAGTAAAATAATCATTATAATGAATGCAAGAGAATGCAAAATGCAGAAACAAATAACAAGATTTTTACCTCTGTGCCCAATTAAAAGGTTTAAATCCAACAGAGAAAAGATCATGGGTTCAGTTTTTGCTGGTGGAATGTTGGATGGCCGGATTTGCTTCAAGGTTTTGGGCGGTAGTTGAGTAAGTTTGGGACGAAAGATGTGAAAAAAATACTTGAGGGAAAAAAGTAACACTCTCAGCATGATATACACCAAGAAACAACAAAACCAAGAAATAAATTCAGAAAGGATAAATGAGAACTGGCATTGATGGGGGCATAGACAGGAGATTCCGGCGCGTCTATCAGAGACGACATCAGAGATCGACGGACATGATGGAGAGCCTGTACCACTGAGGACTATTTGTATCTGCATTTTTTATTATTACTTATTTACTTTCAGTTTTTTCCCATTTTACCCTTGTGGGTATTTGTTTTCTCTTGTAGCCCAAGGGGCATAGTAGACTTTTGTACTTGTTGTCATTTGGAGCCTATTTAAAGGGCTCATGTATCTTGTATGAGAGGAATGAATTATTGAATGAAAATTTTTATGCTTGTTCTCTTTGTGAGTTCAATATCAAGAAGATCTCTTAGTGAGTTCTTCACATGAGATCTCTTTGTGAGTTCTCTTAGTATTTGCTTCCATAGATCTTCTCCTCATCCACAAACGCCATCATCTACACCAACAAGTTGGAAGAAGCCGGACCCCCCTCCACACATGCCTTCTCCTTGGGATCCCCACCCGTCGGCCACCCCAACCCCCACCGGCCGGCCACTTTGCCGCCGGCTCCTCCCCACCTCCATCCTCCCACCACCTCTCCCTCTCTTCACCTCTCTTGAAATTTGAATTTCAAATTTCAATTTCTTTCCAAATTCGGAAGTTCTATTTTAGGAAAGTTTTTGAATTTTGAATTCAATTTCACATTAAATGAAATTGGATTCATGAGAAAAAGATTTTCCTAGTCATCATCCTAATTTGGAAACCCCTTCCCCTCTCTCCCTAACTCCCTCTCTCTCTAGCTATGCCGCCGGCCCCCCTATGTGGAATCCCCATTAATTAGGCAATTAACTCTCCATCTTATTTGAAATCCTAATTAAGTCCAAATATTTTCCCTCCAATTACATCCAAAACTGAAACTAATTTCAATTTTCAAATCTCCTCCCCCTCTCTCTCTACCGCCGGCTCCCCCTATGGCTCCATCCACTTAAATTTTATTTAATGCCTTAATTTCCACTTAATTGGAAATTCAAATCTCAATTTTTTCCCTCCCAATTCCCTTAAACTGAAGTTAACTTCAGTTTTCCAAAGCAAATCAACCCCTCTCCCTCTCTCTCTATCGCCGGCCTCCCCTCCTCTTCAAGCCGCCCCTTCCTATCCTTGGGTGGCTCTAGGTGATTGCTCGTCTTCAAATCCATGGTGTATGGCGGATCCCGCCATTGATCACGGACTCTTCTACGACATCTACGGAGATATCCACGTCTTAAGATCTCCTTTCTTCGACGTTGGATTTGGCTTCGACAATACCGTTGAAGAGTACTTGGGCCGGATTTTACCAACATTAGTGGACGCCGTCGACGACCAATTCTCCGACTACACGTGGATCATTAAAGGTCTTCCTCTCGTGCCACCTCCACCTCCGAGTTCCTTCTCCTTGGCGACGTTCTTTGGCTCCTCCCTCCTCGTGGCAACCTCGTTTCTAGCGTGGACGATCTTCCGCCGCTCAACCTAGTTTCGTAGGAAAAGAGAGAAGAGGCCTCAAGGTGAACAACTCATTATTAATTGTTGGATTCAAATCACTAACTTTAACTTTACGTTCTCCTTTGTATTTGCTTAAATTGTTTGGCTAATTTCCTTGTACTTTCTTTGCCTACGCAAGTGGAACACTATGAATTCTTGTAATCGATTTTAATTTGAAGCATGATTATATAAGTGGTTAAGCTATTGTTTAAATCTTCTTATTAATCTTGTGTAACTCAACTCATGCATCACATCAGGCATATTCTCATAAATGAAATTTTAGACTGATTCATAACCAATAAATCATATTTACTCCATTTTAAAGAGAGCTTTAGTTTAAATAAATGCACGGTCACAATTTGGCTACATAATCCTAAAAGAAAAACAACTCATCTAAAACATTTTACATTGCCAACCAAAAAGATAGTCTATTAACCAACTTCATGTCTCATTGCTATGAGGACAAAGTTCCAATTACACATAAATAATTCAGGCACCAATGTTTTTGTAATCTGTAGCAAGCAAACAAGAAATGGTAATCTTTGAACATTGAGCAATTTTTTTGAAAAGGCTTCTAGAAAAGCTATAAGGAGCTAGTCAAGCTAAACTTACATCAAAGCAAATGCTAGAATAAATAAAAGTCCGCAATGTACAGAATCTTCTCTCACGCATATATCAATTTGTCAGCCATGTTAACAATCTACTACTAGGAATTATGACCATAAGGATGGCATCATAACTACTCAATTAAAGCATTTTTTTGAGGTTTGGATGTAAAATTATAATACATCATATGTTCACAATCCTAAATACCATACTCACAAAAAGGGAAAGAAGTTGTATTTTTGGATTCTTGTTTCCCAACCGCTTCTTGAGCACCTTAAGAACATCCTTTGCTTGTCTGCATGTCATGAAAACAGAATTCATAAAAATGTAGCGTTATGCTATTGAATTTGCTGACTGAATGGAAAAACTAAAACAACTATAAAAGATCCAAACATCCCAGCTATATCTTCAAAATAAATAAATAAATAAACTGAAGCTGAGAAATGGGGAAAAAAACTACCAAGGGTTGGCTTAAGACTAGAATTGAATCGTATAAACAATGTAGGCATATTTGGGCTTAACACCTTTGATCATATGCTAAAATGTGCAATAATACAAAAGTTGGGGTGCAGCTCCATTAAAAAAGAGAGAAGACATTCAACTGTTAATTCCACTTTTTTTTTTCTTTAGTAGACTTTATCTGGATTTCCAAAATAATTATGATAGGAAATACTTGAAATCAAGTATTTCCTATTCACCTTTCAAAAGTTGGGGTGCAGCTCCATTAAAAAATAGAGAAGACATTCAACTGTTAATTCCACTTTTTTTTTCTTTAGTAGACTTTATCTGGATTTCCAAAATAATTATGATAGGAAATACTTGAAATCAAGTATTTCCTATTCACCTTTACAGCAAATCTCCACGAAATACTGCTGTCCGGAGCAGGAGAACAGTGAAAACAGTGGAAAAACTGTAGAAAACTGAGAGAAAATCGTAGGAAAAACTTGTATTTTACTAGTAGATGCAAGAAAATTAGCAAAGATACAATTGATCCTCAATTCGAGAGGAGGATCGATCTCTCCCAAATCTCTAGACGCCGCTAGAGCCCAAAGAAACCTAAATCTAAGAGATCTCAAATTTCAGCCAAATTCAAGATGCTCAAACCCTAGGAAAACAAACTATTTAATGCATACAAATCAAAAGGAAATCCCTAAACAGTCCCTACATTCAAATTTCCCTCTCAAAACCCTCAAAAAAACTTCCTAAAAAGCTCCCGCACGGTGTGCGGCTTGCTCGGCATCTCCGCGGGCAGAGATTTCTCCGCCCAGTTTGCGCTGGGCCGGTCCCGCACGGACCGGCTGGACCAGTCCAATGGACCGGTCTAACAAATTATTTCTTAAATAGCTTGTCGAAACGTGCAACACTTTGAGATGGGTTATATAACATACTGGAATTCAGTGAACATATTATAACCAATGCAAATAAGGGTTATATAACATACTGTAATCAATGAACAGATTATCACCAATTCAATGAGAATCTGATCCATAAAGCAAAAAAATTTAGTTCCTTTTTCTGCCTTTTTAAAGAAATATTCTTATAAAATAGAAAACCACCTACGTCAGAAATAATCAGTCAGGGGGATAATTGGATAATGGATGCAAATAAGGGTTCAGCTATTCTAAAATTAACAATAAATCTAATAAATTGCATGCAAGGTGATCGCCCTTATCTGCCTTAAAATCAAAGAATCACATTATGAAAAAAAAATCATATTTCTTAACATACATTCAATCAAGTAAGAAAGCCAAAAAATGGAGGCAAATAAGAGATTTCGTATCCTTAATTAACAAGAAATTAAACATGTTGCATGCAAGATGATCTTTTCCTATATCAGAGTCAAGGAATCCCATTGAGAAAGGAGAAAATAAAAATATATATTTCTTAACATTCAAATTTAAGGATTGGCAAAAGTTTTTTACAACATTGAGAGAAAAAAATCCTGTCTAATTGACACATGAAATGTTTGGATAACACCTACGACAATTATTAAAAAATGACAACAATAACTTGGATAAGGAGCAATGTTTATCTCCATCATTGCAACAAATCGCTAAACGGACTAACAGCTAATCAGGGAGCATGATGTCACAAAAGTGAGCAAAAGAGCTCTTTCATCATTTCAAAAGGCAACTGATCTCTCGAAATGGCTTGAAGAACCAATAGGAAATATGTAAGGAGTAGCCAAAAGGGAAACTTATGCCTTTACAATACAAGGCCATATAGAATATAAACCTTAATAATTGATGTGAACAATAAATTAGTTTCATACACCAAACATTGTTTTTCAAACAGCCAAACATGAAAATGATTCAATAAGTTGTTCATTTAATAGCCCACCTTGCACATTTTGGCAAGAATTCTTACCTATAATTTGGCACAAAAACCATTCAACCCACCTAGCCATGGGTATTGTGCTAGCTTTTTGCATGTAAGGAAATGATAAGCATTACCATGTGCATCTTAAACTCTACCAGTAAACATGGCTACCACCTAAACTTTCTCGTCACAAGGAAGACTCCATTACATCTTTTGCATGCTAACCAATAGTGCGATCAATCTCTCATGCAAGCTTCTTGATTCAGATTCACAATTCATGAATAACTACACCTATGCAATGGATAAGTTAACCCCAAATAGAAGGTCATGAATTTCACCAATAGAAACAACCTCCCCATTGAAAGCGAAGGTAAATTTTACTACCATCTAGACCTGTAATTGGCAAGAGCCTCATGCAATGAGTATGCCTATTAGTCAGAAAAATCCACCGAAGTCATAGAAAATATGAAAAGCAACATTAAATTGCAATGGGAAATTAGAACTATTAGATAAGGCATATACATGAACTATGCACAAATGTGCTTCATACAGCATAAACTAAGGCTTCAATTGGTGAAGCATGTTGTTTTGTGATGAATAAGATACAGTTGTTGTTGTCCTCACGTATAGGGAGTCAGGGACAATAGCACCACAAGTGTTCCCAATCATCATAAAGTTGTGGAAAGATTGCACGCATAGAGTAAGGATTTTAGTTGTGCATTTCCCATTAAAATCAAATTCGTGATTGCTAACTTTTAAGCTGATCAGCCCTTTGTTTATAACCCAGGTTGCATAGCATAGTCAAGTTGAAATAATGAGATAATAAACTGAACGAGGAAGGTAGAAAAGTCGTAACCAAGAACAAGATTCACAAATTAGGAAAAAAGCACAAGAGAACACGGCACGATCAATACCCCGGATCCGCGTTTATAATGTCGCACAACTCAATATTTATCGCCCAATCAGGGCCAATTAGCATGTCGCTCGTCGCTCTCTCCGCACATGCCGCACCGTTCGCCATTACCTAGCCGCAGCTCCTCTGGATAGCAAAGCTCACCTGCAAAACATGAAACCTTCCTTCATCAAAACCACATCCATACCAAATTCCCAAACTAATTGATTTTTCTTAAAGTCCCTCCATCCGTAAAAACCCTAAAACATTCAAGGAAAAAAAAATTAAAACAGATAAGATAGAAGACCGAACCAGTACGTTCCGACCTAAATCCAGAAAAGTACGGAAATAGTAAAATCAAAACTTGGCGAAGGAAAGGGTTGCAGACTTTGCTTGTTCAAGGGGTTGGAGAACGACGAGAATTTGTAGGAAGGTAAAGAGATCGAATTGAGAATTGAAAAATATGTTTACCCTTTAGAGAAAAGCGGTGCGAGATCCCGCTTCAACGCTGGAGAAGAAAAAAGTAAACGGCGTCTAGATAGACACCGACTTCCAGTGAGAAGACCGTTCAAAGATGGAAATCGAACATTAGAATGGCTCCTCTGCTACGCCGTATGGTTTTTCGTATCCGGGGAACGATGGTAGAAGCTTAATGCTTATTAGGAAAAAAAATTTGTAGTATATCTGATTATATTCACTAGGATTTGAAAATATAATGTAATGATTATTTACTATTTATTATTTATATATTATATCCATTTTGTAATTAATTTTAATTACAAATATTATTCATTTTCTTATGAATAAATATGTTAAATTTATAAAATTCGATTTCATATTAAATAAAAGATAACAGTTTTTATGTGATTCAATTAACACGAAATTTGAAAAATAAATAAGAAAATTAATTCAATTTTAAGATATTATAAAAAATAGCCTCTTCTACAGAATATTGCTTGGCGACATATTTTATAAATCTTAAAAGAAGGTTTAATCTAATAATTGTGTTATAATTGATGCAACATATACATTTTTATTGCTTGATTCTTTATCAAGTATGGATAATATGAGAATGTGAATCATCTCTAATTATTTAATTTGCATAGTTGAATATCAAGAAATTTGTTCAAAATCAAAGTCAAGGTCAAAGTCGACCAAGTTCAATTAAAGCCGATTTAGCTCGGGGCAAGCTTGCCAAATCTTCCAAAGATCTCGACCAAGCAAGCAACTCACTAAAGCAAGTCAACGACTTAGGCCAACTTAGCAATATGGCGTAATGAGATTACCAACTAGCTTGTACATTTGTAGTTAGGCTACATTATGTAACAATTTGAATTTTTGAAAACAAATGAAAATGGGAAAATTTTTGAATTTTTGTTCGAACTAGAGAGCATTGCAGTGCTAGGCGTAGAGCGCATTATTTTTTCTAGTATTTGTAAAGAATTACAATTGTTTTATTTTTCAGTGAAGGAGGAGAGCGAATGGGAAATCTGGATTTTTGGTCTCTAGATCGCTTTGAGGCTTTTACTAAAACTGTTCATATCAAAGTAAGTGATTCTAATCCTTTTTAATTTTTCAAAAATTTTGATTTTGACCACTGACTTCTCCTCAAAACTGATTTATTTATATTCTTTCTACTTTATTGAACTTTTACTGGATAACTTTTTGTACATTATCGTACTGATTATTTGGAATATTTTTATTGCAATATTTATAAAATTTATCGGGTAAAATAGAAGTAATTGAACTTTATATGATTCACACTATATAGAAATTGGGTATATTTTATTTAAGCATATTGTTAATACAACCATCGAGAATGAATATGTATATGTGATTGAGTAATAATCGGTCGCAATTGCTTTTATTATAATATGTGTAAAAAGTAAGTAAAGACTAGTTGATCCATTGAATGAAAATAGATTGACATGTAGAGAATGGTGGGCTTATGAGCTTTCCTTTAAATATTGTGGTTAGGTGTTATCCTCTACTGATTCATGTGATGCAACAGTTATTTCTATGCCAACGAGCAAAGAGTGATGACTCTGTTTGTTGAGCAAATAGTTACTGATTATTGATTACCAACTACTGAAAAAATATCGTGAAAACTAGAACTTCTTACTTATTTAAGTGTGAACACTGAAATGCATGTTATAGATTCAATGTTATTGTATAACATTGTTACTGTATTTTTAGTGGTCATTTAGTTGCGTTTGTCTCTAAATGCTCTGTAGATTTATTTGTGGACACAAATTATTGAAGTTTTTATAACTACTGAATTAAATTTAGTTTGAAAATTTTGTTCAGCCATTTCCAACCATTGGGTTCTCGTGATTTTCTTTCAATCCCAGTTGAGGAGGGAGCGGGTGATTTACTTTATAGCCCCAAATTCAGATTAGCTCTACACTAAACCATGGTTAATCACCCTCTTTTCCTTGCCACCTATGACCTATTGCTGATCATGCAAGATCAAAGGCTGGGTGATTCCAAGGAGCTTGCACAATGATTAGTGGTATAGTACATTAAGGCATATGTTGGAAAATCTAATTTGCAACATGTACTAATGGTAATCCTAACTAATGCATGTTAATCCTATGTAAAAAATTAGGTTAATGGCTTTAGCTTGAGATAAGCTTGTTGGTGAGGACAATTTTGAAATTAATTAATTGAATAATCTAATCCATATTTTTGGGCATTATAAGGTTTACTCGTCTTGACCCGTATTAGTCCAAACAGGTTATGTTGACTCATTTGACTAAATGGTCAAATCATGATCTTAGTTGATTTAACTTTATTTGAATAATTTAACCTAGTTGGTCAAATAGATCAAATTTGTGGTCATAGCATGTTGATGTTAACCCATTTGATCAAATTAGTCATAATTTGCCATTGATCTTAGAATGAATATTAAGAAAAATTAAGGCTTCATTTGGAATAACTTTTTTATTGCTTTAAGAACCATTAGGAAATTCCTTGTGATCGACAAACCTTAGAGGATGTTTTCAACTATGTTTTGCTCCTCGAACAAACATAAGAAAGCCACATCCACACATAGATCCAAGAGCCAAGCTTCGTTACTTCAAAATCGAGGCCTCTTAGACATAGCCTATTAATATATACTGCTTTGATGTGATTTAGGCTTCGTTTGGGATGGCTTTCTTACTGATTTTTAAAACTTAATTCACTGTAACAGTTTCTAAAGGAAAAAAAAAATTGGTTTGTTAAGAAATCAGAAGATGAAAATCTGGTTTCTTAAGAAACCGTAATTTCATCTTCCGGTTTCTTTTAAAATCGTCGTCAAAGTAAAAACTCGATAATGAAGATTCAGTTTCAGTAGAAACGGGATAATTAAGTTTCGTAATTGCTCTTTTAAAATTCTTTTATTAACCTGTTATTTCAACTAATTTTAATTTAAAATGCGCTCCTTTTTATAAAAAGCCATTTCCCCGGATACGAAAAACAATATGGTGTAGCAGAGGGGCCATTCTACTGTTCCATTTCCATTTTTGAACGGTTTTCTGACTAGAAGTCGGTGCTTATCTAGACAACATTTACATTTTTCTTCTCCAGCGTTGAAGCGGGATCTCGCATCGCTTCTCTCTAAAAGGTTAAACTTATTCACAATTCTCAAGTTCGATCTCTTTAGCTTCCTACAAATTCTCGTCTTTGTCCAACCCCTTGAACAAGTAAAGTCTGTAACCCTTTCCTTCGTCAACGTTTGATTTTACTATCTTCGTACTTTTCTGGATTTAGGTCGGAACGTACTGGTTCGATCTTCCATCTTATCTATTTTAATTTTATTTCCTTGAATGTTTTAGGGTTTTACGGCTGGAGGCACTTTAAGAAAAATCAATTAGTTCGGAATTTTGGTATGGATGTGGTTTTGATGAAGGAAGCTTTCATGTTTTTCAGCTGAGCTTTGCTATCCAGAAGGATCTGCGGCTGGGTAATGGCGAACGGTGCAGCATGTGCGAAGAGAGCGACGAGGAGAGATTATTATGTGCGGATACCGGACGTAGAGATGTATCCGGATATTATGTATCCTATGCTTAAACACTACCTACAACTCTGAGTATTTACTGCGTATATAATGCGTATTTGTAGATACACAGTAAATAAGCAACAAATATTTAATTGTGAAGATTTGTTGCTTATTTGTTGTGTATCTACAAATACTTAGAGTGTAAGCATAACATATGCAGAGTATAAGTAGAACGCACGCAGTGTATCCAGTAATCTGGACGCATTCCTAAGTCCGGTGTCTGCACCTAATAATTTCCCCTCATTGGGCGATAAACATTGAGTTGTGCGACATTATAAAATGCGCTCCTTCTTATAAAATGCCCCCGAGGAAACGGTGGTAGAAGCTTAATGCTTATTAGGAAAAAAAAATTTGTGGTATAACTGATTATATTCACTAGGATTTTGAAAATATAATGTAATTATTATTTACTATTTATTATTTATATATTAAATTCGTTTTTTATAATTACATTTTAAACAAAATATTCTTCATTTTCTTATGAATAAATATGTTAAATCTATAAAATTCGATTTCATGTTAAATAAAAGATAACAGTTTTTGTGTGATTCAATTAACATGAATTTTGAAAAATAAATAAGAAAATTGATCCAATTTTAAGATATTATAAAAAATAGCCTCTTCTACAAAATCTTGCTTGGCGCCATAATTTATAAATATTAAAACAAATTTTAATCTAATAATTATGTTACAATTGATGCAACCCATACATTTTCATGGCTTGATTCTTTATCAAGTATGGATAATATGGAGTGTGACGATGGAAAGTTATTGTCAAGTGTCAATCACCTCTTATTTGGTCAAAGTCGACCTAGTTCAATTAAAGCCATTTAGCTCTGGACAGGCTTGCCAAATCTTCCAATGATCTCGCCCAAGCAAGCAACTCACCAAAGCAAGTCAACGACTTGACTCGTGAGCTTGCTGTGAAGTTGAGTTCAAGCTAGTTGGCGAGCTTACACCCCTAATAGCTTGCGAGCTTACATCCCTAATTACTAGACAAGAACTCCTATAAAAAAAACACACCAATATTGCTAAAGAAATAACTTTACTAGTTGTAGTCTTGTAGATGCTTAATTTCACATTAGGTTATGCTTGATTTGGACTTTGCAGCACCTTTTTTCAAAAATAAATGGATGAATTATTTTGTACATATACTGAACGGGGAACACCGTCCGGTTTATCTCTATGAACAGTAAAAATGCAGTGCAGTGAAGTTGCACTTTTACTGTTCACATAAACAAAATCAGACAAATCTTTTCATCCAGTGTCCGCACTAAATAATCTCTCAAAGAAATGAGCGACAAAATTCACATGAATCTACATTCTAAACTTCACAAGGCAACCACAACATTTTTGCCTTTGGCTTCTATTTCTTTGCAAGACTACAACGCTTTTATTCTATGTCAAACAGTACAACATAGAGCAATAGCTAATAGAATCAAATCAAACCAATCCTAATACATAGGGGCAAAAATGGAATTTTTTTTATAGAATTCGGACAACTATATTTATTGAAGATGAATAAAATAGTTGAATTATTTAATTTTTTAAGAGAAAAAATATTTCAAATTTCAACATTGAATATAAAGCATCAGGCTGTATTACATAAAATCATAAAATTTACAAAGAAAGTCCTAACTTGTCATCATACATAAGTTAAGTTAGGTAAGTCAAGTCATGCCAATTTCTGAAAATAAATGAGGCATTTTAGTATAACGAAACCTTAAAGATTTTAGTGTTATATAAATAAAAATAAAGAGAATTTTACGGTATGCATGCAAATCCCCCAATTTAATATATTCAATAGCATAACATGGAATTAAACTGCAGGAGATCACAGAAAACACTCCACAAAGATCAAATTCTACAAAGTCAAGCTTCAAGTTATGAACACTTGCAAAATTAATCAGCATCATAAAACTCAGGGAACAACTCCACTTTTTCTTGCTATTTCATAGAGCAAGAGCATCTCCAACCGAACGCCAAACTTGCGTATGGCGTCGTTCGGTCACTCCAGCCGAACGTCAAATCTTCTGCCATTTACTTGCGGGTGAATAGTGCGACGCCAATATTGGCATTGCACTGTTCACCTACGCTATTTTGTTCTCTCAACCGGAAAAACGCGCGAAAGGGAGAAGGATCGTTACCTTCGCAGAAGCACTTAAAATGGAGTTTGATTGGAACAGCACCACGGCATTTTGGAGTTTTGCTATATTTTGCCGTAAAAAATGGAGTTTTCCATTGGAGATGCCCTTAGACATGAAGATAATAATAGTACAGAACAGCAATCTACTATGAGGACTCAGTCACTCAGTTGAAGAAATGAGGAATCAAACTATAACGAGACAGGAAAGAAAGTCAAATTTATCAAAAAGCTTTAATAGGCCCCTTAACCGATCGACCTGATTATTTTACAACCAAATCACTCCCAGATTTAGAACACAGTCTTATTTTACAGAAAATATCTAAATAACTTCAGTTTAACATAATTGATGTAGAACTACCTGGACCTGCTCCTCCTGTGTCTGTAACAGAATGAATAGCATCCGCTTAATTTCCTGAAACATTAACAAAGCAATCAAATGGGTTATTCGAATAATAACCGCATCTTAAAGCGGTTTTTTAGTATAAAAATTTTAATTTTTAAATTAAAAAGTTATTTTAAGAAGCAATAAAAAAGCCGTCCCAAATGAATCCTAAGGCTTTGTTTGAGGTGTCTGTCTTCATGCTTCTTAAAGCAGCTTTTTAGTATAAAAAATTAATTTTTTTTACTAAAAAGTTATTTTAAGAAGCAATAAAAAATGCTGTTCCAAATGAAAACTTAAGTTGGTGATGGGTGATAAACTGATAACCTAAATATGAATTATGTGATTAGCTTTAGAGATCTTGAAACTAAGGGGCTTTTTTGCAATACATAGGAGTTAATAATAAATTTGTTATTCATTTTGATAACATGAGTTAAATCACTAAAGCTGTTTGGAGACAAGAAAAATCATTTATGAACTCCTTTAAGGCTTCATTTGGCTATTCAGTATCTTTCCTAGAAGATAATTTTAAAACTGTTGTTTGATAAAACTGAGTTTTCTAACGGATAAGTTAATATAGAAAGCTTTTAAAAACAGTACAAAAATATAATTCTCTAAAAAGCATTTCTGTAAAAGTGGCACATACAAACAACAGAAAAAAAAAATTCTGCCGTTTCGAAACTGAAAAGGCGAAATTAAGCCATCTCAAACAAGGCCTAAATCCTGTAGCTTCAAATATCTTAAATCCGGAATTTAGACATTTGGTTGGTTGAAGTTAGAAAGCATGCTCTACAAAAGAATGAAATTTGTTGGATCCATCATTTAAATGGGTGCAATTGGAAATCAGCCCATTACATTAAAATAATTAACTTCGCACACAAAAAGAAAGAAACAAAATCATATCTTTTTAAGATAATTTGTCTATTTACTTGCAAACAAGCACCTAATAAATCTACCCAAATCTTGGATTTCAGATATTCAAGCTTTAAGAGAACTCAGAAAAATCAACTGGCGAGAATTTACCTTACATTCAACCTAAATCAAGATTTTTTTTTTTGTTTTTGGAAAGTTGAATGCGGAGCCACAAATTTTATGTAGGTGGGATTCAAAACTTTGTATGGAAACAAAAAAAAAAATGTTTATTAGCTAAATTAGGTGGCACCACATCCAAATCCAGCTAAAATCTTACGATCAAGAGCCCCTTGTGGGGAAACAGAAAGAAAACTAACAATTAGGTCGAGATCTAGCCCTAGAAGAAGCAAAAGACTCACAATCGTTGTCTTCCTCTGCTGCTACAGCTACTATTAGAGCTTCCATTGCTACTATTGCTAGTACTCCTTTCTTGAAACCCCCCACTAACCCACTCCCCATCAGCTCCCACCGCCATCGGCCTCGGCGAGATCTTCCGGCTACCCCCAAGCACTGCCGGAATATGCGGCATGAACATCTTCAGAAGAAACCCACCAGAAACCATACTACCAATTCTCGAATTACTATTTACCCTCGTCTTCCTCCTTCCTTTACTCATCTGCCACTTCTCCGTCAACGCCGCTTCATCCTCCTTCTCTTCCTCCCTTCTCTGAATCGACGTCAATTCCACCATATCCCTCAGAGAAAGCTCGTACGCCGTCTCCGGCAAGTCGCGGACCAGATCCATCATGTCCTGCCGGTACTTGTCGATCATTTGGGCGCGGGAGATGTTAGGCCGTGAGTTCGGCGATGCTGATTTCCATAGAGTCGGTGAAGAGGCATCGCAGGACCCTTCGACGGTTGAGGAGGACTCAGGGAGGCGGATTGTGCGAGCCCAGGGGCCGAAGTTGCGGTGGGGGCTCTGCTTGCCAAAGGAATTGTCTAGGGTTTTCAGATTTTCAGCCCAGATACCATACCCGAGATGATCGTGGACTGGGAAGGAGAAGCTGAAGTGTTCACTGGAGGCAAAGTCCGGCCGCCGGCGGTCGTGGCGTTGCATGTTGGTTGCTGTGGTGGTGGTAGCGGGCAAGTGATGCTCTTAATACGCCGATTAAAAAGGGAAGTTGTGCTCTTAATACGCAGAGGGACGGCCACACAAATAGAAAAAGCTCTCACCCAAAAAGACTCGCAATAACTTCAGAAAAATTGAAAATTTTACTTTATATGTCCCGTAATAATATAAGAAAAGGAAATTTACATACATACTTATTTAAAAAATATATTTAAATTTTATTTTAAATGAAATCATTCTTGATAAGAGATTATGCTTCCTTTTGAGTTAATTTTTTTAAAGAGTTTTTCACTATAAAAAAATCATGAAAATATTAAAAAAACAGTGATAAAAAATGTCTCAAATCAAGCCTATATTTTATTTTTATCAACTAATTATCAAAGTTGAATATTTCTAATTAAATCATTATGATTTCAACCAAATTCAAACCAACAACATTTAATGTTATTGTGTTTCTTCGATCTTGCTGAAATTGTTGGCCGGAAGGTATTAACAAGAATTGTGAAGATGAGTTCATGATGAACTTCATTGTTAGAAAGCATCAATGGAGCTAAACAATGTGTGAAAAAGTATAATTTCATGATGAAGATTGTTGGGGGCAACCATTGATGCGACACGTAGCACGAGAAAGAGAAGATGAGTTTGTGATGGAGGGCTTCCTCGAGGCAATAATCGACTTGACTGGCAATTGGTGAAGGAGAAAATGAGACAAAACTTGTTGGGGGAAGGCATTGATCGAACCAATACATTGCTGGGGTTGGAAGACATCGACAAGAGTTTGTTAGGGTAAGACAATTCCAATTAGCTCAATATCACTTGATTATGATATTACTAAAGTACTTAAATGATGAATAAATATTTTATGATGAAAGGATTTAATATGAGTCATTTGATCAAGTGTCATCAAATCTTCAGTAAATTTATCAAAACATCGATCCTAAAAGTGTTATCAATATGCTCACATTTTTTACATGAATGAGACTTTGACTTGAATTTGGAGAGAATTTTGATATTTGAAGAATTTGAGAGTTCTACTTAACATTCAATATCAACAACCACTAACAACCACCGCCATCATCTAGCAATTGTGACGCCCTATCATCGTCTCCAGACTGTGGTTGTCTGATCGTCATAATCTATTCAATGTCATTTGATTGATATTATCGCCAACTATTTCCACTCAACCTTTGTCATTCATTCACTGAACTATTGCATATTTGACATCCTCTCACACATACAAAATTACAGGTTTTAATAATAATGTTTGAGTGTATTAAATAATAGAATATAGTAAAGCAAATACAACAATAATAGTTATAACATAATAAATTATAACAAACCAAAGTATCTTTTTCGCTAGGGTTTTTCGTGGCTCTGTGGGTTTGGTGGCGGCGGGAGCTCTCCCTGTCCCGGTGGGGGCTTCTCTCCCTGGCGTTCGTTCGTTCGGGGGAAGTTTTCGTTTTCCCTGCTTCTGTTTTTCATTTGGATAGTCTTTTTTGTTGCTGGTTGTGTTTTCTTCCTTGCCGGCTAGCCGGCATGGTTTCTGTTAAGTTAAAAGACCCCGGTTTTTTAGGGGGGTCTTCTCTTTCTCGGTTGTTCCTTCAAGCTTTAGCTGGTCCGAAATCTTCTTTTCCGTATTTGCAGGCCTCCATGTTCCGTGGTCTCCCATCACTTTGGGTTTCAGATGTGGAAATTAATGATCTTGCTGCCCCTTTTTAATTTTCTATGGTTGGTTTTTTCCTTCTAAAAGACCTTCTTTGGAAGCTATTCATAAGTGGTTTTTTTTTTTTTTTTTTTTAAATAATTTGAAGTTGAAGAGTGAGGTCTCTATCACGCTTTTAGATCATTCTCATATACTGATCAAGTTAGCGAATGATTGGATTACTGTAGAGTTTTCTGTCACTGTTCTTACCTTGTTTTTAATTGTTTTATGAAACTGACGAAGTGGTCTCCGACGTTGGACATTGGTGTGGAATCACCGGTGATTCCTATCTGGATATCTTTCCCTCATCTTCGTCCCCACTTATTTTCGACTCGTATTCTCTCTGGGCTTGGAAGTTTGTTTGGGAAAACGCTGAAAATTGATGAAGCTACGGCTATAGGTTCCCGTCCGTCGATTGCTCGTGTGCTTGTTGAATAAGATATTACGAAATCATATCCTAAACAAGTTTGGTTAGGTTCGGAAACTCTAGGTTATACGCAATAAGTCGTTTTTGACGAGTTCCCCAACTTTTGTGCCGGTTGTAAATCTATTGGTCACTCGATCGGAAATTGTCGACCTTCTGCTCCTATCACCCAGAACACTAACCCTCCTCCTATTGCTTGTGGTGGGGTGGGTATTGGTTTGAATGCAACTTCTGTGAAGTCTGGGGAGTGTGAAAATGTGAATATTGGTTTAAATCCTGATTGCCATGCTGTGCAGAATCCGGTTTGTTCCCCGGGTGTTGAGGGGATTTCTGTATCGCTGAAGGGCGTGAATGGTGAGGTTCTGATTGGAGGGGTTGGTGTGGTTGATTGCCTTAATGTTAATGCTGCCATGGATTTTTCTCCTCTTCTTTTAATGGTTGAAACTACTAATACTACTTTAGATGCTGTATCGGCTCCTTTAGAGCTGGGAAGTGTAAATGCGACTGTTCCTGATCTGGTTAATAATGAGGTGTGTGGTGTTGGCGGTATATCGTTTGATTTTTGCTCGGTTGCGTTATCTCCGAATGCTACACCTTTTCTTCCTATTGTTGTAACTTATGTTAGCAATGTTATTTTGGAGCCGGCCTCTACGGGAAACTTAGTTAATTTGGAAAGTGGTGATGTTTTGATTGAGACTGGTGATGTGGGTTCCGTCTTGGCTTAGGCTGCGCCTCATTCGACTGATATCAGGGAGGACTGTAGCCCGGTTCTCAACAGATTAATTGAGGTTCCAGTTAATTTGATCAATTCGCAATCTATGACTAATTGTTTAGGGGATTCGTCTGTATTGAATATTAGGAATCAGTTGTTGCATGGTTCGTCGGATGGTGAAGTGGATTCCGAATTTTCTGATGATGATTTGGATTCTCCGGATTATTGTACAGGCTCTGACCCAGGCAATGATTTTTCTTTGGTCAGTGATAAACCGATTATCAATGTTGCATCTCGGGGGAAATTTTGGGGTAGAGGCCGTCGCAGACGATGATTTTATGTGTTTTGTTGTTAAGTTTTGCTGAGGTGCTCTCTTTGGGAATGGCCTGTTCCTTTGTTTGTCTGATTTGGTGGTGTGCTAGGCTAAGGTCTATGATGTGGTTGGGGCTCGTACCCCTGATGCTTAGCTGGTGGCAACCTTTTATGGGACGGTCCGTGTTTGGCTTCAGGGTCGCTGGTAGCCTCGGCCGATTACTGAGACCGCTTTTGGCCTGTATTTTTCTTTTGTTTTTCATGAATTATTGGTTTCTTGCTGTTGTAATACAATCAAATAATTGAAAACAATTAAGATTTAAAAGGACATTTTGATAGTTTATTCTTCTAATTTTACACTAAAATTTTATAGAGAATTGTTTGGGCGATGTTGATGTTTGGTTTGAAGTAAAGCAAATACAATGTAAAATTTTAGTGCATTTGAAATTTACCATCTAGTTCAATTTTAATGCATTTGAATTTTTTCATATTTAGGCTATTTCTTAATACACCATATATTCATATTCATTACCATTGTCCACTGCTAGGGCCAACATCGTTGTCAGCCGATGGCCACTGCCCACCTCCAGGCTCCAGCCATCACCGCCTGTCACAATCGTTGCAGCCTGCCACAAACCATTACAACAAACAACCACTTGCCACCGCTAGTGGGGTTCGACAAATTTTGGTTGTAAGGATATTTTTGGACCGTCTTTACTATTTATTTTTGTATTTGATTCATCATTCCCTAAAAACTCTAGTAATAAAAACTAAAAAATTGATAAAGGGAAAAATTTACCTAAAGAATCATATAATAAAAAAAAAACTTTATGTTGAAACAAGTTATTTATATTTATTTATTTTGACTATAAAAATCTTCTATGAGGCAATAATTTAAGGAATAACATACATATATACATAAACAACTGATTTATATTTCGACAGTTAATTTCTTTTAAATATCTTGGAGTCATGAAAATTAACGCTAGTAAAAAATTGCTGACATATCTTTTCTTGACTATAAGAGGCTTTGGAGTCTATGTTGAAACATTAGGCAGAAGAAAATCTCACAGCCAGCGCACATAAGAGATTGATTGGAATGGAAGCTTCAAATCAAACCTTCTAGAAAGAAAACCCACTTGAGAGGCACATACGTGTATGTATATGACCTCCCTCTCTTTCCCCATCAACTTTTTGAAGGCAAAGAAATGGTGCACATTAAGAGTAAAATCCAATCTAAGGATATCTTATCAGCTGATATAATTTTTCAATATGACTATAAACTTGTGTAATAGTAAAGGAGAGAGCAATTCATAGGGAGAATGAGTCGACAGCTGATGTTAACCTAAGAAGGAAAATAGAGGGAGAATGTATGAAGCACTTCCTTTCATTTTCATGTGTTTCAAGATAACTAAAGTAATTTGTTTTTAATCATAAATACAATGTATAGAGTTTGCTAAGCTAGAAATATTTGTGAAGATTCATTTGATGGTTATTGACTTGAAATATAGAGTTGTATTGCGAAGAAAAGCATTGATATTTAGAGTCGGGTGGAATAGAGATTTTTATATGTTATTTTGACAACCGTGTAAGTTGATGTGTTGATCATGAAGCGTCAACTTGGTATGTGGTTGATTGTTGCTTTGCGGATATGTTGATTATTGATATTGTAAGTTGCATGATGAGATGTGATGATGTTGTTTTTTGATGCAGTTGCAAATGATATGTTAGTTTAATTATATCTGTTTGGTACGAGCATGAAAGATAAGATTATTTGTTGGATAAATGACAAAGACATTATCATAGTAAAGTGGAGTAGTTGAGGTGATTGTCCTTTACTGATAGGCTGAACTCTTAAAGAAGACTTCATAGCCAGATAATATCTATAGCTGCAATAAGAGGGCTCTGTACTATTCTTTGGTGGAGAATATTATCATGGTAGTTTATTTATTGA